TAAGAACCTCTGGAAGGACTTCTGGTGCATCCTGCACATTCTTCTCAAATGTCCATGAGCTGACATCACTCTTAACATGATATCCTAGTACACAAAGTTTGGGGTGTGGTTACTAGATGAAAACCATGCCCAGACATCCTGCAACCTTCTTTCCATGTCTTATTTAGCTCTATGATATAACTCAACTCAACTGTGCTCTCCCAAAACCCAGTCAAAGATTTGAAGCTGGATGCCTTTGCTCTATGGCCTGTCAGTGACCAGCTTAAGGTTTTTTTATTCAACTGTGTCCAGATACAAACTCGTCCCTCATCTTCTTACAAAAAAAAGACTGCAGATGAAAACAAGTTCCAAGGAGTCTTGCCGTAGGGTGTGGACATTCCATTTCACCTAATGCCCAATCATACTGAAAAAGCTAAGAAGCTGGGTCCTTTTTAAAAGATGTGAACACCTCTTTTACAAATATCATCCCATTGCCTTTTTATACAGATGGAAATAAAATCAAAGAGATTTTCCACAGTGCTTTACAATTAGTGTACAACCCCCCCATAAACACACACAGGCACATAGAGTGTCTCTTTGTGTATTCAAGTCCAATCTCAAACTCCAAGATCTTTTTCTGAATCAGGCTCCAAACTAGCAGGATTAAAGTTATGTGTGACCATATTGGGCCCCCATGGACATAGCTATACCATACCAGGATTGAAGCTCAAAACCTAGGGCACTTCATTTCAAAGCAAAGCAAGCTCTGAGGAGGCACAAAGTGTCAAGTAGAAGTCAGAAAATGAAATGGACCTCAAAAATCACTATTTCAATGGGCTAATGGGTGTGGATATATAGGAAAGACTGGAGGACATAGAGATGAAGTCAATTCTCAGGATCATTACAGAACCTATGAAATGGCCCCTGTACACTGGTCTCTGAAGCAGCTCTGGGCAGGTAGTAGGCGTGTCAATGAGAGCTCAGGTTCCTGTTGTCCACACTCACCAACGAGCAGACCTGCACAGTGTGCAACAAACTCAGGATTCTGAGATATGCAGAAGGTACAGAGGATCCATTGACAGGCTTCGCTTTGCACAGATTCTGAACCAAAACAGGCCTCCTGGGTCTCGTACACACACCGCTCGCTTTTGAGACAGAGGGGCTGAGTAGATACAGCCCTTGAGAGAGAAACTGCACTTATCTGAAGTGTGGTGTAAGTACTCACTGGACCCGTCCAGAGCAGAGTGGTCTTTAGGCTTCTGTGATGGGAAGGTCCCACTGCTTACATATTCTTGTGGCTCAGCCTCATCAGGATGACAGGAAGGGAACAAATAGTTTTCATCTAGTGAATCTGGCCAAAGTTCATTTTCTTCCTCTGCACATAAACTGAAGAGACAAAGCAGAGCAAATGATAATTGGAGTGGATCAAAATCCACAGCTCCACACTTGAGTGTCATCAAAGCTTAAGGGCGAATTCCAGCAGCATTAAGAAGAGACTGAGGGCAACTCTGCCCCTCTGTGTTGCACCTTGCACGTTTGCTCTAAGGATCAGACAGTAGAAAAGAAAAATGACTGGCTGATACAAACAGAAATATCAACCACTTCTGAGGGAATTCTTTAGATAGCAAGGTCGTGAGGAAGAAAACTAGACTGTGCTTAGAAGGTAATGCAATGTAGGGGAGCAACCATTAAGAACAACTGAAGGGGCTCAATCTTGTGTGTACAATGTTGAGTACTGCAGGGCTCCAGACGACACAGGCTGCTGCATTGAAGGCATCTGGTACGCTTACACGTTCCACCGATTTTTCTAGTCAAGGAGCCGGTATGTGCCTACAACTGCAACTCTCAACAGACTGAGCCAGGAGGATGTTTGAAAGTTTAAGGTCAGCCTGGGATATACAGTGAGTTCTAGGCCAGCTTAAACTACATAGTGAGATCCAGCTTCAAGAAAAGTAAACTTTTCTATGAATCATGTGACAAGTCATTTTGCTCTTCAGGGCCTAGGCAGGATTATTCTGCTTTTCCTCTTAGACACATGTTAGTGCCTCACTTCAACAATACAGAAACACAAGGTGTATCTTATGCTGATTTTACCCATCCATAGAACAAGTGTTTTCTTTAAGGGCAGGAATTTCCACATGCCTGGTTCTTATAGGTCAGACTCACACTCCCATTCCCATGGAGAAAACTCTAAGCACTGCAAAAGGGCCAAGCTATCTCTGGAAGATGGAATAACACAACCACCAGCAGCACTCTCTTTTACTTTGAAATTTGTAATGACTTTGACCTCATGGACATGATATTTACACAAGTAACAGGATATCACATTTGCTTACGTGCTGCTACTGGAATCCAGGGTCATTTCATCATCCTCATCCTCATCATCTAGATTATCTGCAACCAAATTCAAAGCATCCAAGTCAGACATTTGGCAGTGCATTTCCTTACTGGAGAATAGTGAGCTATCTTGGTGTAGAAACAAGCGTTCTGTGTGTATGAGGTAAGAAAAGGTATAATGTTTGGCTTTCACTCATGGCCTGGTATTGTGAAGCAGAAAAATAAGGTCCCAAAAAGATCAATTTTCTCAGTGGGATGCTTCAATTTTCATTGGGAAATAGCGATAATGGCTCCAAAATCCTGAACCATTGCTCTACTGTACGCACACCTCTTCTGCTAAGGACAGGAAAAACAACCTTTCTACACAACCCTCCATACATTTGTGCACTTTCTAAGATCTTCAATTGAGCTTTTATCTTTTAATTGAATGAAGTGCTCTCTATCATACACACTGAAGCTTCTAGTATTCCAAGTATCTCACCACTGCATCCTACTGCATGATGTCCATAAATGAAAATTTCTGAACTACTCTGAATGACTTCACCAACCTGCAATGACACTGATAAACATACCTGTTCAAATGCTACAATCATCATGCAGCACATATTGTGAGTATGTTACAGATGAGAAAATGAATACCCAGGATTGAGAATTTACCTCATAATTCACAACAAATGCATTGCAATGATACCTAGAAAACTTATTCATAAAGCAAAATATTATAAATCTATCATGAATCTCCCTGCCACTCCCTATTGCCTGCAAAGATTTTGGATGAACATTTCCTGAGTGCAGCAGCCATATATAACCAGGAAAGAAGGCAATTGTTGGAATAGTGTGGCCTCAACCAAGTGTGTTTGTCCTCTATTCTGATAGAAACAGGTCCTTTCTGTCAAGACTCTAATTAAAATGTACACTGGAAGGTAGGAACATACTTTGAAATTTGTAATTACATTCACCCCCTGAACATAATATGTACACAAATAACTGGGTATCACACTTGCCCCAGGCTGGTGTATTTCTTTGGTGTCTCTTCATTGGAGTAATAAACAGATATGGAAGAAAGAAAACAGATATACAGGACATGGGCATAATGGTATATCTAAAATCTTGGGCGCATTGTGTTGCACCAGGCATGACAAGAGCCTGTGGCTCCCTTACCTGGCCTAAGTCTGAGGGCAAGGTACTTGGCCAGCTTGCTCCCCTCGGCAAGTCTGTCTCTGTGACTCTTCATCTGGCATCTGTGTTGGTCATCTTCAGCAATGAGACTGCTGAGATTCTGATGGAGTGTGCAGGCAGTATGTCTCCCTTCCCCCAACTTGTACCTTAACTTAGTCAATTCTTGGGCTTGAAATTCAATTA